GTTTGCAAATGCCAAAATGATGAAAATATTGAAAAGCTTTCAAGTTTTTTTTTGCAAATTTTAGAAGATATGTACTCCTTCCGTCCCATAATATAAGAACGTTTTTTATACTAGTGGAGTATATGTGATTTATATATGCACAAACACACAAGGATACAGAGCTAATATACCAACTCTATATTTAAGTACAGAACGCAGATGAACAATTTTTTTTGCTATAATAAATGTTTTTGTGCACTTAGTATTCCTGCATGTGCACTTGTATTGTTGGTTTTTTTCTTAAGTTCACAAAAATATTATTTCGAGGCAGAAGCAGGTGAGCTCGAGTGCAACTCGCAGCTACCACCAGCCCGCCATGTCATAGTGGTACATCCAGGCCTGGGTACATCCCAGTTGTAAATTATCACCTTCCTGTAAAGAAGACTATAAATATCTACATCAACATGATTTTGAATTAGCATGACACACTTTCCTGTTATTTTCCTTTCAAATCTGATGACATGGCACAAACGTTGGATATATGTGATGAATGACCTGAGTTGATCTATGGTGATCAGTGTTTCCTTTTCCCCATGTGTTCCTTTCATGGAAGCTAACCTGAATAGAAGACTAAGTCTGATTATTTCATTTATCGTCCCCTCAGATGCATGCCGGTGACGACAAAGCAGGACAGGGTGTTCGACAAGGTCTTTCGGGCTATGAGGAACGACCAGGATGGTATCATCGTCTACCGGGACGGCACCCTTGACGAAGCCACCTTCGCCGCCGTCTGTAGTGAGCACACCCCCATCGAAGACGTCGGGTACCACGTCATCCCTGGCAGTGTTTGCAGCGAGTTCGGCTATCTTCGGCATAGCAAGATCCATGGTGGCAACTTCGACGAGGAGACCTGCAAGGGCTGCCCAGGCCATAAGGATGTCGTCCGGCTCAAGGACCTCTCCCCCAGATCCTGCAGAAACATGTGGGTCTAGGCGAGATTGGTCTCGAGGATTTCCGTTATGATCGATGGAGATGAAGAAATCCGTTCTGAAAAGTAGATGAGGAGAATTAGCCAGCTAGTGGCTTGTTAGCGAGGCTTGAGACCGGCGGATGATATATGGTGGTGGCTGTTGTGTTGTGCCTATTGATTCGTTTTTTTCCATGTTTTGTGTGGTCTGCTGTATGCCTGCATCATAAGGCAATAAGTTATATCAGCACAATAAGGTTTATAGAAATGTCTGTAGCTGGATTTGTGATCAGGAAGAAAATAAGAAAAAACCTAGTGGTTACCATTTAGACATTTACAGTTATATGCTATCTATCTAATTCTTCTGTGTTTATCTCTGATCATTTTGAGGCCCCATGCATCGGTTCAATGGTTCAACAGTTTGTTAACAGGTGTAATTACTCTGCTGATGAGGCAGCTTTTTGCTGGATTGCATCATTAGCCTTTTCTCTGAAGTGGCTTTGCATTGTTAGATTGGAATCAATTGAAAGCAAACAATTGACTACCGTTCAGCATGTAGAACAAAATGAAGATGAAGTGATGATTTCAGAGCCCATGATCTCTGCTAGCTTATCATGCCGGCGAAGCCAAGGCAAGAAATACCAAACTTGCACCGTGGTCCATTTGCTGTCGATCTCACACGGCTCCTCTTTAATTTTCCATCCCATGGCTTCTTTTACCTTTTGCGCTTTTGCTCTTTTTGTAACCATTTGGTCCGTCCTGCAGATCTCCAGACATTCCAAACTGTATTCCAGGTCCAGCTAGCCAGGGGACACCTCAAAAGCAAGCTTAGCAGCTTGGACTCGTCAATGGCGTCCATGTCATCACCAGGCCAAGATCCCCTACGACCAATAGCTCTTTCTTGAACCAGAACCAGATCGATCTGTGTATGTGACTGTAGGTAGCACATGGTGATATGAAACGCCGAAAGTGACATGCACATATTTTTGCACCACCTAGATGCAACTGATCAAGGCTGAAATCAACATTGAGAGCTGAGCTTGGAGATTACTAAACTGTCTAGCAGCAGTTAGTGAGACACCTAGCTAGGCCTCGATCGGTACGATCGACCACCGGTCGCGCTCTTCTCCATGTAGACCTAAGCCCCCTTTAGTAAAGCAGCTTAGCTAGGTCTTGTAGCTAATAGCTTCAAAACACCAGGGAATCTCTTGGGCACTACTCTTTAACCTTTTCCCTTCATCACATCCTGCCGGTGGCTCTTTTTGCTTTTGCCAAACTTGTTCACCTGCTGCTTCTGCTATAAGAGCCCTGCACCGCCGGCCTCATCTTGGTCCCTTCTTCTTCCTCTTCTTCCCATCGTCTCAAAAGTGGTGTACGCAAGATCGATCGTCGGTTCATCCATGGAGGTATGGCTTGTTACTTAATTAATCGCACTCTGATCGCAATCTAAATGTGCCTCTTTTGGTTGTTGTTCATTTAGAGGTTGTAATTCAGGGAGATTCCATTAGTTTCTACTTTCTCTCTATGAAATGATGCCGTGATGATGAACATGCGTTTTTCAAGATGAATGTGCTATATGTACCCTTTTAAACATTGCATTTGGGCATTTGGCAACAATATATCTATAGCAATAATGCATGTTGATTGCAAGTTTAATATGGCTCAAATCACTCTACACAGCCCTGAAAAACATCATAGAATAGGTGGGCAGGTTAATTACTACTTCTACCTGTCTCACAACATATTCATGCAAAAAGAAACTAAGAGAACTATTAGTGAAAAAAAACATTGCCCAGTGTATATTTTTCATGTACTTTTTCTCATGATGATCGAGTGCATGTGCATGCATGCGTAACCTGCGCTCATTCCCTGATTTCCCCCATGCACGCAGAGCACCGAGCTGAAAGTGGAGATGGTGGCGCTGCATGAGAAGAGGGTACGGAAATGCCTGTCCAAAGTGAAAGGTAAAAACTCTCGTAAACTAAAGTCATTTCATTGCACCCATCACCCATCCATGGAGAGATCTGAACAACCTGATGATGCGTCGATCCTTTCTCCTTTTAACAAAGCTAGCCATGGATGGATGCCTTTCTCACTGTAGCTAGCTATGGTTGAATGATCGGCTTGGTTGTGTGTGCAATGACCAGAGAAGCAATAAAACTCTTCCTCTATCTCACAAATGGTTGATGGATTGGTGTATGCGTGCAGGGGTGGAGAGGGTGGAGGTGGAGGGGAGCATCCAGAAGGTAGTGGTGACCGGGTATGCGAACCGGAACAAGATCCTCAAGGCGCTCAGGAGGGTGGGGCTCAGGGTGGAGCTCTGGTCGCCGCGGAACGAGCTGCTCAGCGCTTACGCCGCCGGGAGCTTCGCCTTCAACAACTACGGCTTCTTCTGATCTCATCCGATGAGATGCATGCTAGTTGCATGATGATGTCGGCGACGTTGAACGACCATGTATAAACTGGATCGAATCTGGGAGCTTGCTTGGTGTTTCTTCTTTCTGTTTTTGCTTTATTATATGCTTCGGATGGTTTCTTCTTCCTCTCACGTGTATATATATGTCACATTTTTTTTTTCTACTTTGGGGGTGGTCAACCAGGCATATGTGTAAGATGTCATAAAAAAGATGTCCTCAAGGCATGGGATTAAGTTTGGTGGCAAAGATGCATGATGCAAGATTCCTGTGTTACCATGTTGAGAGATCGGTGTGGTTGCTTGATCCACACAACCAATCACAGGAAAGAAAAGTAGAAAAGAGATTATCCAAATCCGTTACTCAAATGTATTTTTTGTGCGGTTACCTAATTTTTTTATGAAATCACTAAAAACCTGACGTCGGATTTTTAGTGATTGGGATCGAATGTACCCTGGACCATTGGATCCAAACACGAATCTTAGTGCAGGTGAGACTAGCCATGTCATGGATTTCTTTCGTTTGGAAAAGCAAGGGCCGATCGCGAACACTTCCATCTCGTTTATCCATTTCTCTCCTCTCACCCGGTGCCCACCCCCATGCAAACCGCCACTGCGACAAGGCTGCCATGCGCCGGCGGCTGCGTCGTTCCTATGGTGGGCGGGCAGCGGAGAAGAGCTCCACCGGACCCAATATCGGGGTGTCGTGCGGTGAAGGTGAGACGGGCTGCGATGTCCTCGCTGGCATCGTGGATTGAGGCATGGGTGAGGAGGTGGAGGGAGATTTTTCCTAAATAGTACTTCGGAATGCCGAAGTTTGAATTGTGTACAACGATAAGCTTATTTTGAAATGTTTGGCTTTATCGTCTGTTTTGTTTATTTTGACTCACGTGCGACCGTTTAAATACTAAATGTGGCCAGTCGTAGGCTTCCTTTCCATTGTATATAATACAAAGGGTGTTTCTACAACATTTGAACTCTTAGCCGACCTCTCGGTGCCTAGAGGCAGTATATGTTAGTAGAAACTAGACAATCGGACTATTTCGGCTTTACAACTTTCACTTAGTCATAGGAGCTTAACTATGGGGGCGAGTAACTAGCCCCCGGATGTTGAAGTGGTTGGCCGTGCCGAGGTTAAACCATTAATCACTTCAGCTCATTTGACAAGAGCCCATCGTTTGACACCGATAACTTCTATTGATTTGTATTTTGACACAGTCATCGGATCGCTGACCAGTTTGCGCCTATCATGACAATCAGTTTTTGGTTTTCTTCACTAAGGCACTTTAACCATTTGAGCTGGAAGCGCAACCGCAATAGTTCTCCCTTTACACCCTTAGCCGAACAATGAGGAAACATAAGGGGTAAGCATAGGAGCCGGACAACCCAACTATTGATCAAAGACATAATTCAAAATCGATGCATATAATGCAATATCCGAGACGTCGAATACTTTTACGTGAGTATTGGAATGAATATTTGGGCAGGCTTGTAAATACGAGCCCCCGGTCAAAAACCAATGAGTTTTGGGAAAATATTGTCCTTGGCTAAGAGGCATAATGAAAGAAAAATTCATAACAAAAATAGATGCGCGGCGACCGCAAAAGGTCTATTTTCTCTTTGATTTATAAGATCAAGCCATACATGCCGACCTCATCAAAGAAACTTTGAAAGATACATAAAGATATATATAAGAGGGAGGGTTTATACATGGCATCTGTAGTTGGGTTTATCGTCCTTGCTTTGCCCTGTCGCATGTCTGCGCTTCCGTGCTGTTTACCAGCTCTTCCTTGTCTATCGTAATGTTCATCTGTACTGCATGCTAAATTGCTGATGCTGTGCCTGACGCATTCGAATGGCGGATCCTTTGAAGAGGTTGTAGCAAGTAGCCATGGTCGAACAACTTGATGCTTTTGTTGAAGCCATTCCTGATGGGCCTATGACAGTGCCCTGAGAATAACCAGGATGTAGTTGGGCCGCCATCCGGTTGAGCCGAGCGGTATGCCCTCTCATTGTGCTCCACAACCTCCCCCCCCCATGGAATTTTAAGTGCAAAGTTGTAAACCGAAGGTACATAGTCCTCAGTCAGCGAGGGAGAGCCGTGGAGTGCTTACCCCTATTTGGGGGTACGACCTGACTGTCGGGAGGGTAAAGAAACACCTCTGATATGCTTTGAAGAGCCCAGCTCGTTTACAATGGCGAGGGTCTTTGACGGAGTGATTTCCCATCATATCCTTCGGTAGGGTTCATGAAGAGACTGGAAGTACCGAAACAGAGTCTGCATACATAGTTTACCCAGGTTCAGGCCTCCGAAGAGTAACACCCTACATCCTGCTTTGTTTTGGTATTCATTGTGAGGGGATACCTCGTGGATAGGATTACAATGGTGTATGATATGTCTACCAAGAGTTTTTTCTAGATTGGATCCCTAATGAGGGACTTAGACCTCCCTTTATATAGGCATGAGAGGTCTAGGGTTTATATGGAGAAGATACCAGATCGATCTGGCCATCGCCGCTTGTCTTGGGGCATACCTTAGCCCGCCCTCCCCTTCTTAGGGTTCCTGGATGCTCTCTGGGCCTGGTGGGCCCTGGTCGAAGTCGAGGTCGTGC